TATATATATATATATATATATAAAAATATATATATTTTTTTTTAAAGAAAATAATTTCCAAAGCCTTCTTATTGACAGATGCTCCCTGTACCGATTACTCACGTCGTCAGTCTGCGGAGATTTTTTACAACGACCCATTTAAAATCCAATCGTATAACTTTCGTTACGCTGATCGACCCGCATATCCAGTCCAGAATTACCAACGGGCTCAACCGAGTCAATCGATCCAATCAAAGACTCTTACTTTTGAGACATATTACCAAAATCCAAAGTTTAGTGCCAGAAATGATGAAACAAGGGCAGCTGCAGCGACCCATTCGAGTGCGTTTGCTGAGAATCGACGTCGTAATTTTCTGCGCGATTTCAAATGCTTTCGAACGCAACCAAACAGAGTTTGCGACGTACTGGCACCCACTGTAGCTTCTGGGTCTAAGAATTCTGTGCCTACTCAGCCGCTGCTGCGGTCCTCCTGCAATCGACGCGAATATCAGGTTCCTCGAGGCCAAAGCGTCACCAGTTTGAATCAAACCTCCACCCATACAAAAAGTGCCACCCGCAGGGCAGGGGGAGCGGTCATGGGTAGAAGTGCTTCCGTTTGTAGTGTTAGAGGCCCCGAAAAAAATTGGTCTACATCCACCTTTCAGCTGTCACCGAGGCGCAGCGTTAGCACTTGCAGCGGCTGTGCGATCAACATAAATATAAATGGTTTTGATTCTGAGGCAGAACTGACCAAGAACCTAAAAATTAATATTCAAGCAGATGCGTGTTTGCGTAACAATACTGACAGTTGTAAGATTGTCCCTAACTTGCAAACAGCGCCTCGCAGCTCGGGTTGTTTTATCATTGACAAGCGCCTGTCCAAGTTCAGTCTGCCAGAAGACTGGGTGCCAGGCAGTGGACAGTACGATGTGCTTAAGACTGAGCTGCATTCAGAAGGAAAACGTGTGGTGCAAGCGTGTCGTTCAGATCTGCTGAAGGATCAGTCGCCTATGAGAGTGTATGGACAAAAATATGAGCGCTCAGCAGAGTTCGACGGGCAGCGAGAGAGACTCCAGCAACAAGAATTGGAGAGTACAAGACGCAGTGCTCGTGTGATAGAAGAGAGGAAGAGGGAATGCGAATGGGACCGTTGCCGCTCTGATAATAGACAGAAGCATCAGCCAATGCGTGCCATTTCCATGCCTACCTCAATCTCTTCGTCCGTTGTTATGACGCCACAATTGCAGAGGCGACCTTTGACGGTTCGTTTGCCTGGAATGGCCCCATGTCATCTAAACCAATCGAGAGCGCATGCAGCTCGAGCTGAGCGACTGCAAAACTGCACACGGAATCTGACAATATTTCAACGCCCGAAACCCACATTAAGTTCTCAGACGGACAAAAGTCCATCGAGAAAATTGGAACGTCGCAGCTCGGGCAGCTCCAATAATTACAATGCCACCGTCGTCGTAAGTGGCAGTAACTGCAGCGTTGGAGGTCATTTGGCGACTCATCCGAACGAGCGCAAGTTACTTAATTTGCACGTAAACGGCATGCCAGTTAGCACTAACCAGCCCATGTACACACGAATAAACAATATGCCCATTCGGATAACGACGTCGAAGCCGTCAGATGAGCACTTGCAGTTCTCCATGAATAAGGTGCGTGTTCGCAATTCCTCGCCAGCAAGAACGAGTCCACTTAACGAGTGTAGGCGCAGCTTCAGCGGCGGAGGCTGCGGCGGCAACAGCCGGTCGGGTGAGCAGTTGCCAAAGCCCTACAATGTCAACATCAGTGTCTACGCCGATAGTCAATAACGGATAATCGATGAAGTGAATATTTGCGACTGTTGCAACGTCAGCATAACTGTCATCTCTGTGTGTGTTTTTGAATGTGTACAGTACAGTTATATTGGCCTTCTAACAGCCTTAAATGTTCAAAAAATGAGCTTTATTCGTCTGTGATTCAATATTGCTTTTGTCGTCTGAAGTTAGTTGCCAACTTCGTATACAATTCCTTAGTATTCTTAAAAAAAAAAAAAAAATATTTTCCATAAACGAATTTGGTCTAGTTTTTTTTTAAACTGAGTTTTAGTCCACACCGAACAATTGCATTTGTGGGCACTTTGTGCAAGCAAGTACCTTCCATTCTGGGAGTAAAATGTACTTAGGCGTAATGAAAGCAAATAGCTAAACAGATTCTCTGCTTTGCTGTATAACGTTTGCTCAATACTGTTTTCTTCACTACCAAAACAATTATATTTATGTTTTCTACAGTATTAAAAAGTTCACTCAATTCGTAGACTAACTCAGTAATCTATTCGGCTTTAAAAGTTATCTACTTCAAGCGGATTTGTATGCTTTCATTTTATGAACAAAGTGTGTTCATCCATCATTTTCTGATATACTTTCTTATTTAATTAGTTTTCTCCTTTGTCTTACTTTACATAAAGTGTTCATTATTTTTGTCTGAGTATAATAATTATTAATATTTGATTGCAAGTTTTTCATAACGGCCTTCTCATATATATAGATATTGTAAGCATTGCGTTTAACCTGAAGCGTAAATGTGCAACTTTAAAGTCTAACAATCATAGCAAATTACTTGAGCTCATATGATAATATTGATATTTTTGGTTGAATTTTCCTTTTCCCTTTTTATTAATTTTGTTGTTTGCGTTGATTTGTTCTGTTTTAGTATTTTTCAACTTTTTTTTTTTTTTGGTCATTTTTAAATGACATTGCCGAGGAGTTCGATTATTTAACTAAATTGGTCGATTATTCGTCGTCGTCGTAGTTTTGATAGGTTACATAACGTACCTGGGAGCGATCGCGTCCATATATTAACGACTGTAACGGTTAAGGGATGAGTAATGGTTAGTTATTATTCTTAGACTTCGAGTATAAAACGGGGAAAGTAGCATAAATGGAAGTATATTTTTACGAACTTAGCAACCAAAACAAGGACTAACAAAATCCATACCTACACAAACACATACAATTAAATCATAAATACTGATGTAAATATGTATACAATGTACGGAAACTATGAAAAGGTTTACAAAGTAATCATGTCAGTTAATATAAGGAGTCTTAGCAAAGAAAAAAATATGGTAATCATAATCGTTCACTTTCAAACGCCTCATTCGTTTTGCCTTCCACATCGACTGAAGTGTTAATGGATGGGCAGAATTGAATTTCTTTTGCTTTTGCATCATTTAGAACAGCTTGAGCAGTTGCAGCAGCCTCTCTAGCCATACGCACCTTCTTTTCATCGCTGGTTGGTGGGTTCTTGAGGAGCGTCAATAGAGGTGCATATAAGAAACAGAGTATGGCGATGCCGAACAACATCCACTCGAACCCAATACTCTTTACAAGGGAACCAGATAGAGCCGGGCCGACCGCAAAGCCAACGCAAAAGGCAACATCACCCAGGGCATAGACGCTGCCGTAAACAGCCGAGTGCCGAATATCCACAAGGTATCCCAGCTCCGGCATCATCGATGAGTCAACCATGCCGATAGCAAAGCCAAGGCCAGCATTAGGAATAATCAGGTGCGTAATAGAGGTAGCCATGGGAATCTGCACAGGAAGGCATTGAAAAGGGAGTCTAGAAGTCTAGGGAAGATACATACAAATATTAAGCAGGCGCCAATGATAACCAGGCCCAGGCAGGCCGCAAACCATCTTCCAATCTTATGTCCAAGTGGCCCAAAGAGATTTGTACCAATCAAATAGCTAATGGAAGCGGGCAAAAACGCTACCCCCTGCTCCCAGCGTGTTGCCCCCATGTTGTCAACCATCCATAACGGTAAGGACGGCTCTAGCATGGCAATGCCCATGTTAGCGAAAGTTATGGCCCCAGCAGCTATCAGGATGTATGGATCGCTTATCAAACTTTTCAGGGATGGTGGCTCCTCTGACTCAGCCTTCTGAATGGACGGCTGCAACATGAACAGCTGCAGTAATCCATCGCCCAAGGCCAGCGCAGCCAGCACTAGAAACGGCGCCGACTTGCCGACGAACTCGTACATAACACCCCCAAAGGGCGGACCAATAAGGACACCAAGTGCGAGTCCACCAAGAGCAATGCCCATGGCATTGCCGCGTTCTTTGTCATCTGTGAAGCGATCTGCAAGCATTCCCATGCCAGAAACGGAGGAGCACGATGAGCCAATGCCCTGAAGGGCTCGAGCAATGAATAGGACCAGATATGAGCGGCCAAAGGCAAAAACTAGAAAGAAGAAAGCAACATATTACAGATATTACAGATACAATGAAAGATTCTTAATTGAGCACTTACTCAGCGTAGAGAGGAACATTATTACGAAGCCGGCAAACATTGGTATACTATAGCCTATGCTGTAATTGGAGATATAATGTTTGTTAGGCTTATAGCAATTTATTGATCACTATTCAATAAACGAGCCATTAATAACTCACCGATGGGTCAGGGGTCCCACAATCGGATTAACCAGCAATTGCACAATCGCCTTCGATGCAAAAAGGAGGCCTACCTCAACGGTTTCGCCGACCAATTCATTATGCCGTTCCTCCAGCTCACGATAATACGTTTCATTGTCTATAGAAGACATGGACTGCTTGGTATCTGGGAGAATCTAACATTTGATTATATTATATCTACCTTCGGCGCTTGGCGTGACAATCTCTAACGGGGCCGTCTCATCATTAGCACCATCCTTACATGGACAGGTCGTGGGCGGGGGAGGCGTGTTGAGAGTGAGGGGAGTACGCGGGTAGCTGTCAAGAGGTGCGTCCGGATGTCGTATGTCGTATAAAAACTCGGGTATGATGGGCACTATATAACGGAGAGAGTCGGGTAATGGCTTTGTAATTGAGTTGCAACAAAGAATTTACGTACAATTAGCCTAACGGGTAGCTGTTAAATGACGCAACGAAAGCAATTTTCTTCAGCCGTTCCTCTAATTGCATTTAGAGGCCGCGTAAAATTGTTCCTGCTAAAAGTTATAATGGCTTCTAGGCATCTTTGCAGGGAGCAGATTGCTTCCCCTAATTGAGTTATTCGGCCATGCCAACAAAGGTTGCAAAAATTTCGCATTTGCTGCATGTAACCGGAAGCATGTGAGTGTAGACCTCTGTTGGCTGGCTCGCCCTTCCATTCCCCCGTTCCCCTAGGAGGCACTTGGATGTCTGTCCCCGCCGCCAATTCTGCCCGTGCCTGTGTCTGTGGCCATGTCCTACAAGTCTATTGCATGTTTCGACTATGTTTACATTTATTATCAACACCCGGAGACAGTGGGATGCGTTCTACATTGAAATGGGGCTCGTTTCACTACTGTAATTGCATTTGCTGGCATAATGCGAGTCAGCGGCACTTCACATAGGGCCAAGTTTATGGGCATGTTTCAATTTGAAATTCAAGTTGGTAAGTGCTGGCCGATTACTGATGCCAAGGGTCGTCATTGTTTGATTTGAAGTGTTGTTGCTGCCCGAGTTTGCGGATAGCGCACAGACAGCACTGCGGTGTGCTCGACGAGAGCTGGTTAGCTGTTCAACCAATCAGGTTTGTATGCTACCAACCTTTCATTACTCATTACTCCTTTTGTATTGCATTTGTCTCATAATCAATTTGATGCGAATCATATAAAGTTATCATTAGGCAGCTATTTGAAAAAGAGATAACCAAAGCACTCACCTCTGTAGCACCCACTATTATTCTGTAACTGCCTAGACTATTTATGTTCTTTTGGTTGCAATGAATTTCTTGGCGTGCAGAAATAATTCCTTTTTTGACATGCATAACCTTAAGTGTAGCATCGCGCTAATTCAGAAATACATAGCTCCCATACGTGTATCTCGGTGACTTCAAGACTGAGAGAAATGGTGCCCTTATAGGCTTTGGAAATGTAATTGGTCATGCCATATAGTAACACTCCCAAAATATATAGTGCTGTTATTCTTTCATAACGTCTACAATGTAAAATGCGCCATATATGATTCAGCAAGCCATTTCAACGAAAAGAAAAAAATTCCGTGCAACTGCGGTGACTCCGAGTCGTCAGCTACCATGCGAGTAGTAAACTGTCCTGAGTATCAGACATTCAAATGTCGAATGGCACGTGCAGCTGACGAACGGTTAATGGAGCAGAGGAATGAAAACTGAGGATTGGAGATTGGGCATCGGCTGGGAGGGCTGCATTTCGCGTGTCGAATACGCTTAAGTCAAAGCTGAATGCCTTGTGAGGGGAGCTAAGACAAACAAACATTAAGGACCATGGGCTGACCGAAGGCACGGGCTGAGTGAAAAGTGAATCATATATACCCGTGTTGAAAAGCCAATAGCAAAAATGATATATCTTAAAACGATATATTATTATATCAAGCTATTATATATGGATTATCTATCAAAGCTACTAAATAGCGTGCCGTCCAAATTATTAATGACTCGAGGTCCGACAGAAGAAATTCTTATAAATGTTGTCGCCCATACGGGACGAGGCTACTTGGAATAACTAAACATATACTCTGGAGATTATCCATTCAGTGACTATCGACCATCCCTAGTGACAGGAAAGTTTTTTTGCGGCGGCGTCGCCAAGCAAACAGCCATAGCCACAGCCACAGCCACAATCACAGCAACGGCGACAGTAACGGCAACAGTAACTGCAGTGAGACAGCAGCTGGCAGTGTAGGCAGGCGCACGACATAAACAGCGACAGGAACTGCGACAGCAACAAGGACATTTTGGTTTTTTGTTGTATTTAATTGCCAAGTAGGAAGGGGCTTTGCCCATGCAAAAGAGAGAGAAGGGCCCATACCATGAGGGAGCCAGCGCGCTTCATTTGGGAGTCGGCCAGTCGACCATTGTTTGTGCGTTCTGTTTGGTTGGAGCGGATCGAGGACAAGGGGCGCAGCCACAGACGCCACTTTATACTCGACTATAAGCCGCGCGAGCGACAGCGACAGAGCGCAAAACGGGGTGGTAAGTGAAACGAATACCCAACCAGCTAAATATTAATGGAGCAAACCCACTACGGGCAGGCGTCAGCTGTGAAAGCGACTTAAGCGACTTTCACGGAAAGCCAACGGCCTTAGAGTACGGTGCTGATTATACACTGGATGAGTACCTTCTGCTAGGCGCCACTAAGCTTACCTTGCAGCACCAGCAGCAGCAGCAGCAGCAGCAGCAGCACCTCCAAGCGGGCCAGGCGCCTGCAGCAGGGACAAACAAAGTTCAGTCTGCATTCAGTGCGCTGCACAGCAGACGTCACGTTAAGCGCCGCGCCTGGGTGCTAAGCAGCGGAAAGGGCTATCAGCTGACTCATCTAACGGATCATAGCTCGAATTCGCTTTCACGCCGTAGCTCTCTGCAGGATGCGCTGCATGCAATGGCTCATCCTGCCAATCCGGAGGAGCGTCTGGCCGAGCGTGTGATCAACTGGCTCGATTTGGCGGGGAGAGCAGACATTGTAAAGAGCTCGACGTCGCTGCCCGGCAGTGGCATCATTAACAGTGCAGTGCTTCCAGGCAGTCGGCGGATTAGTCGGCAGAGTCAACGAGCTATGGGCTTGAAACGCACTATTATTCAGCGGGAAACTCCTCGAAAGCCTCACGCAGCAAAGCACGCAGTGATGAACTACTGCCCCAACCCCTCCAATGCTAAGCCCATAACCATCGTCTTCAACAAGGAGGGCGTCCCCGTCCGCTTCAACCGTCCGCCGCGCAACATTGACCTCTGTGCGCTTAGCAAGAGCCCCGGCACCACGCGACGCAATGCCGGCCAACTGTCCGCCGCGAGATTATACAACGGCGCTGCTGCTCCGTCAGCCGTAGACGTCGCGCGTACACCGCCCCACAGCAGTCGGGAATTGAATGCCAGCCACCACGAGAGCCGCAAGCAGTTGCACATCTTCATGCCCAGCTTGCCGAAGAAGGGCTTTCTCCTGGCCGCAACGACAGCCAATGAGGACGCCCTTAGCGCGAGCCTGAGTGAACTGCGTTTCTAGGCGTCGATTCTGCATTTCCAATAAAGTCAAATTTGAACTCTCCGAGTTGCTCCGCAGTTCCCACTTGTCGTCTTGTCATTTTTTCTGGCCTTCAAAAGTATTTCCGGGTATTGCGTATTCCGCAAATATCCTTGTATACTGATTTAATGTCTTACATAATTAGTAGCATTCAACTGCTGACATCCTATGTCAAGGATTTGTGAGCGACAAAACAAAAAGTCCTTTGACTTTGTTTGCTTCTGTATCCCTTGTCTGCTGTCATAGAGAGCGCTATTTTTAAATCATGCCGATAAGTCTGAGTTTTCCTTAACGAATTGCGCGAAGTTTTGGCTTGTTTTGCTGTTGGCTTGCAAGTTTGGAGGTACTCAAGATTTGATTTGAATTGAGTTATTATACCTTGAAGCCATTGATAATGGGAAATTAGGGTATAATGGTTTTGTTAAAAAATATGTAACGGGCAGAAGGAATCATCGCAGACCCCATTAGGTATATATATTCTTGATCAGCACGACGAGCTGAATCGATATAGCCTGTCCGTCTCTTCGTCCGTCCGTCCGTCCATATGTGTGCGTCGATCTCAGAAGTTATAATAGCTGGAGCGCTGAAATTTGGCGTACATACTCGTGTAACCATACGCAGTATACATAAGTATTTTTTTTTTTTTTCGGAGACTTCAGATTTACTATGTATATGCTTAATACATTTTGTAATTTATAGATTTTAGATACCACTCCCCCTTTTCACACAATTTGTAAAAAACGTATTTCAAGTACTAGAGACTTGTGCTCTGGAATGTACGTTTGAACATTATGATTACATTCTGAAAGTTTCACTAAGATTCTACGTCTAAAAATTAATATTGCCCACATCGCAACGCAGCCCAGCGCAGTCGCGTCTTACTGCGCAGTTAGCAGAGCCCGTTTTTAGACGTGCGTGTGGATGCATGTATGTATGCATAAAAGGAGGGTTCAGGTATCTCCTAGTCGAGCAGTCTCGACTATAGCACTCTTAATATTTTTTGCGGTGTTGAAGCTAAGACTTGAAATTTTGAACATATACTTGTGAATACCCTCGAATGATAAAATGTGACAATTTTTCCGATCCTTTCACTAGAAGCGTGGCAAATCGAAAAATGCATTTTACGGTATACCAGAAATGAGGGTGAGGCATATCGAAAAATATTCTTTGACTTTCCCATTTTTAGAGTATGAGCGCCAAATTTAACACGACGATGCTTTAGCCTTGTTCGAAAAACTTGTCAATCAAAGCTTTATCTCCACAGTTATAGGCGTAAGTCCCTAAGAACTCTTTGCAGGGCTGCAAAATAATACACACTTCTTTTTAGCACTTTTATTCAAATTTATTCAACTATTTTGAACTTAGCTCTTGAGCTCTTGAGCCACATAGGTACTAAAGCATGGACTTTCTCATGTCAATGCGTGCCTATTTGTGTACATTTCTTCACCGTATGTAAACTGCCAAGTGTTAATGCTAATGCCTGAGCTCTCTTACTATGAATGATATTATTTTCCATACGCAAATAGACAAGAATCAATTATTGGCATAATATAAATATGATACACTTTTATAATAAGCATTCACAAATCGAACTGAATTATATAAATTAAGGCTAAGAGGCAGACGAACGTCATACAAGGCCACAGGCGACACCTAGCACACCTGCGCTTTACCTTTTGCCGCAATGTGGAAATTCGTGAAATAACTTTACCACAGTGATTTCGTGAGCTTTGACTGGTGATATCTGTCACCATAATGGGCATGGTCGAGGGAGGAGGATGTATCACCGTATGCCCTAAAGGCCTCGCACAACTTTTCCGCACGGCAAAGCTCTAAAAGACAAAAGGCACGCTCGCAATTACAGCGCAACACAGCTAAACAAAAGTTTGTGCCTGACATTTGAGTTTTCGCCAGTTTGGCAAGGAAAATGCGCAGCAAAACAAGCGGCCTGGCAGAAATGGCGACATAGCCGCGTGCCGTGACTTACTCACGTTTCAGAAGCGAACGAGGCAGGTTGCAAGGATTTTCTCGGCTCGGCAAGCGTAGCAGAGCCTTTTGATATTGCGGCTAAGCAATATTGTTTCTGTGTTTAATTTTCCGGTAATTAGTACGACTGACAAATGTCAACTGATGACGACTCCTCGGGCAGGACGTCCGCCTGCAGTCGACAGAATGGAGTGCAGCAGAGCACCGAAGCGAAACAAGTGGAGCCAAGAAGGAGTTCGCGCAACACTTCGAATCTGTTGCACCATCAGCACAGCTTCGAGGCGCGCTACAGCAACATAATACAAAAGCAGATTTGGGAGAACACTATTAATAAGGATGCTATAAAGCGTCAGCTTAATGACTATTTTCCCTTTGCACGCACCGCTTCCCTCACAAGAAAGGAGTCGGATTGCTCCTATGATTTGCTCAGTCTAACGCCAGGGAGTAATGATAAAGCCCTAAAAGCACGCTCATTGGGTTCCACGCCCACCAAACATCGATCGGAGGATTCCCTGGAGAGCTTCGATTCCGCGAAAAAACAAGCCAAGTATAAAGGTGATGCGTGTTGATTATTGACAAATATAATTAAATAAGAAACATGCTTGAACTGCGGAATGACTTGATTTTTAACAATATTTAGTAATATACATATATAGTTTTTTTCGAATTACGAATAAAATATCTTCTACATACGGAGTGTGTGAAAGGTCCTTCGGGGCCATGAATTACGTATGGGGTATCTTATCTTCTAGCACAGTCCGCTATTAGACTGTTAGCTGCCCCCACTAACAGATAACGCTCCGTCTCTGTCTAACCCGAGCATAAATCAAGGCACTGGCCTAATCACATGCTCGTACCAAGCCCTGTATTCGGGAAGTCCTTTTCGCAGCTTAATCAAATTTATGAGAATTTTATGCTCATTGCCGAAGATCAAATGTAATAACCGTGTATTTCTCGCAATTTTCACTTCAACACCTTTAACGGCAGAGAGAAAGCACTTAAGTGGAAATGCCTCAAGTCAAACGCTAAAAGCATATTTACTGTAACCTTCCCCATTCTGAACTCCCCCTAAGGCAGCACTCGACTAAACACCGTGCATCCCTTGCCGTCCAACATTCAGAGCTAACTTTGATTTGATGTAAGTGAAAGCAAAGGGGAGGCAGAGGAAACTAAAAGAGGATAGGATATTATAGGAAAGGAGAGGAGAGAAGTAGGGAGCAGAACAGGAGCTATGGGCTCTGTGGTGGAGGGGTTGAGTAAATTTACTTTTGTGACTTTTGTGCGCTCTCTGAACATTTTTCTACTTTTGCTTTGACATTCACTTCCGTATCTATCAACAAGTTACTTAAGTGCCGCATTCGTCTAGCTATTTGTCTTCGGCTGGGTGCAACCCCTACTTGTTGATATACATACATACATTCATGAACATTTAACACAAAGAAAAAAATAAAAGTACGGAGCTTCAATCGCTTTTTGTGTTGTCAGCCGCAGCAAAGACTGCCAGACTGGCATAGTCCTGCGATCCATCCATCGTCCATCGTCCATCGTCCACTTGATGTCCACGTGTTTGTCCAGACACTTGACATAAGCACTTGGGTTGTTCGCTGTTCGTTGTCCGCTCTCCGATGACCCCCAGCGAACGTATCCCTTGGTAGGTTTAGTGTCACACGCAGAAGTAGCTGTGGTCGCGTGTCTATTTAATTGACTGTCCGCACTTTAAGAGTCCCTTCCCCTTATTTACTTCTCATTGATTTCCCACCACACACAACCGAAACCCCAATCCCAATCCCAATCTTTCTCTGTCTGTGTCGGCTCTTAATTGTGACGAGCAATGTATGTATGTACATACATCGCTATTGAGTAATGGTGCTTGAGCAATTGATAAACTGTTGTTGTTGTTGATTTTAGCTGTGGCTGGGGATTCGAGAGTTGATTTGGCAGAATTAGTTTAGGAATGCTTAAAATTGAAATATACATCGATAGATAGATATGTATATCGATAGATTGAGTAAGTTTGTTTAGCGCCTGTAAATTACCATTGTGAATTATGGCGACCGCTTTCATTTCATTCACATGATATGGGTATGTATTGATCAACATAAATGCTCACAAAACGCAATGCATAACACAACATCCCAAATGCTAGCCACAATCCCCAGGCATCGCTCAACAGCATTCAATGACAGCTGGATAGATGAGCTGAAGACGGACTGTTTGTTGAATGACAGACAAAATGGAAAGATTCATTAGCTTAAGTGCCGCATTCTGGTAATTTTATGGGTAAAGCGAAGATAAAAACCTATCACGGAATAGAAGTGAATAATTTTCTAGTTGATTGCGCTGCAGGTGATTGTCAAGTGGCTGCCAGGATAAGTGGCTATGAAATGCTAATGGGCTAATGGGTAGAAGTCTGTCCTCTTTACAATTTATGTATGTATGTAGAATTTATTTATGTACATACATATGTGTGTATATATATATGTATATTTGTTTATTTAAGGAGTCGAGCATGCATCATTCTACTCACCGACAGTTGTGAGTAGCATATTGTCGAGCAGCAGAGCTATGGCCACAATGACCAGAACCAACCGGTTGGAGCCACGCCAGCTGACCATCCATGACTTGGCGGCTGACCAGGTCCCAGCTGCACGTGGATCCTCCTGTCGGTATTGATCCGGCGGCGGTTGACTGCTGCCTAGCTTGCGGGCTCCGTAAGGTTGACTTTCTTGACTCTCTCTGCCAACAGCTCCGCCAGTGCCCATAATTCCACACTCCGTGTCCATGTTGCCATTTTGTTGATAGCTGTCAAACTGTTGCTTAAACGGATTTTTGCTCGCCAAACTGGTAGACTGACTGTTGTCATTTATGGTAAAGGACGTCGTCTGATTGGTGGTTGTGTCTTCTGCTGTTGCCCCTCCTCCTCGAGCTCCCACTGCGGCTCCTGCTGCTGATTGCGCCTGGCTATGCTGCTGCTGTGCTGGGTATTTACGTGTGCCATCGTTGCCCGCATCAGTCGATGATTGCATTGCGTCGCTAGCCGCTTATTGCTAGGGTAAACGAACGAACGAGTCTTATCAGATTCCAATATAAGAGGATTGTCTTTAAAATGTAATCAGAAATGTAAGCTGCTTGGAATGCGCATTAGATATCATTGGCTTGTGTCGTATTCCGCCCCAATGAGTTCTATTAATTAAACAAAAATTATATGGCTCGGTTTTGTTTTTGTATTATTATAATGTAATTACTGCGCAGCAGTCGTATGAATCGAATATGATTTCCCCAATGCTAGCCATTTCGTACAATAATCCAAATATAATTGCAGTTCAAATATATGTATATGCACGCAGTCGTGAGACATTGTGCCCAAATTTAAATATCTATTTAATTTGCTCCTCCAATTTTAAATTCGTTCTCGCTTTTCAAATTTACAAGCTCTTCGAAATGCGAGGCGCACGGCGCAAAGGCAAATTGAATTCAACATGTAATTCGTTTAGAGGACACCACCCACCCAGTTCCCATGCACACAGTGGCATACACCCACACACGCCCACGACTATAAAGAGCCTTCTGAGATGAGGAGAAGGCGCTTCCTAAAAAGTTGGGTCTCCTTTGCCTAATTCAGAACTCCGCATTCGACATTTAACAGAGTTAAGAGCTGCTGGGTGCGACTTTCCCAAAATTGAATTAGGTCGCAGTCAATTAAATCAAAGCGCAGTCATAATTGAGAGCAAGATGGAAAATGATTCGCCCACTTGGCAGCATCTAAAATTGTTTGATGGGAAATGCTATATTTTTAGTATTACTGAATTGATTCAATGAAACCAAGTTGCAAAACTCTAACCACCTGCAGCAATGAATCTTTACTCATTATCATCATCATCATTTTCGTCGCCATCTCATTAGGTCCTTCCAAGGTCAAAATGAGCTATAGGCCAGCCAAAGAATCGGCCCTATTTAAAATATATCATATACATATATATACATATGTATATATCCTACATACATATGTATGTATATATACAGTTTTTGTGGAGGCATATTTTCGAATAATCTTTATCTATATTCTATATATACATATATATAAAAATTGTGTAAAAGTGTTCCTACACTTATATCTCGAGATCTGCTGGACCAATTTTCATGGTTTTTGATTCGTTGGATTTGTCTCCGCTACGTGTAGGATATTAGATCTTAAAAATACTGAAAAAATTTTATGAATACTTGAAAAACGCGACTTTTCCCTAAAGATTCAAACTTCCATTGATACTCAGTAGGCTTGATGACAGTGACAGTTTTCGGTCCTGCTCTCATATCATACAATAGTATAGAAATAAACAAATGTAGTCAGTCAGTCTACGGCACAGCTTCAGGCGAACCTGACTATTCATAAAAAAGCACAATTGATAAAAATAATAAAATATTTGTTTGTCTCAAACATCGATTGTTTTATGTGGTTTTGTGCGAGGGCATATTTAGTATTACTATTAGATCCTAGAAGATCTAATCTTTCCCGGCGGACCCATAATGCAATTAGGCAACGGAATATCGCGAGTCAATCGCCCGAGAAAGGCGCCGCGTTAGTACCCAGCAAAGAAGGGCCTTAATTCGTGCTTCTCATTAAAAGAGCTTGTCAACAAAGTATTTCCGAATATCATTGCTTTCCGCAAAAATACTAAATGGTTAAAAGAGCGAGCAATTTTGGCGGCTAAAAATAAAGATGTGGATGACCTTAATCTTATAATTCAAAATAAAATCGTTGGTACTCTGTATTCATTCAAATCTATCGACTG